GTGGCTCAGGCCGCTGGCGAGGCTGGCCGGTGGCCCTACGTGCGAGCAGCTGCAGGCTGCCCCAAGAACATGGATAAAGCCCCAGATATAAACCACCAACTCGCTGCAAAACAGCTCTGTCTTTTCTAGTTATCCAAAAAGAACCTGCTTGAGCAGTGTTGTGAATCAGCTTCTTCTGCGTTACTTCTAAGTACGTACTTGTATGCATGCTTGTAGTTATTTCTGCATATGGATGTGCACATACGTACACGTGAAATTTCTCATCCTAGAAGCCACATCTGTTTTGGCATGAAATCTCCAGAAGAGATGCGTCAGCAAGCTCACATTCAAGTGGTTAGCAAAAACTTGTATAGTCAAGACAACCATCACTCTCCGCTGCAGTATGGAGTACTTGACCATCGCATGGTGAGAAACATTTTTTTCTAAACTATTCTTGTAGAATTATTTGAAGTGGTTAAAAGTAAGTTGGGATGACTGAAATTTACTGCTCGTCCAAAATATGTGCAAATGTCTGTCTACTTGAATTGCATGGACTGTCAGTTGCAGTGACAGCTACTTTCTTCATGCTTTTGGATGGTTCAGGAAGGCATTCTTGTGACACAGGGGATAAATTCTTTCTGCCTCATTGCTGGGAGACCCAGAGACATCCATCTACAAAATACCATATTGTAGATTAGAGGGCTGTAGATCAGTTGCAAAAGCTGGGTGAGTTAATGGCACTGGTATCGGTAGGGCCTGCATATGAAAAGATTTTTCTTAAGGTTTGGAGTGAATGTAATGCTACTGATATGCTTCTGATGCTGGGAAAAAGGAGTAAGCACTATGGGTCTGCTGTCAGGATAGCTGACTAGCTTAAGAACTGTTGTATTTTCAATGTATTCAGTTGATCATAGCTAAAGTATTTTTCTGTGCGTGTGTTCTCCTCCTCCCAAAGGGAACCAGTGAAAAAGACCGTCCCTGTGAAACCTGTGGAAAAAATCTAGCTGATTGCTTAGGACATTATGGGTACATCGACTTAGAACTGCCCTGTTTTCATGTTGGATACTTCAAAGCTGTGATAGGTATCTTACAGGTAAATACAATTATGATTTGTCATCAGTTTCTAATCTAGAAAAAGGAAATGTTCAGAAAAGATAATGCTTGAAAGAGTAATTGAGAAGACCAAAATAAGGTTGCATGATAAATTTTATCTTTATGCATCTTGTGTTTCATAAAATAAATGTATTAAAAACCACTCTTAGTGATGCAAATACATCAGTGCTATTTTATATAATCTCAGACTGGTTAATTTAATCCATTATTTGTCTGTAGTAGTTTGAATTAAATGTATGCAGTACAACTTGCCTTTTAGTACATCCCAGTAAATCAAAACTCTGTTTGCTTTATATCTGGATTTTTAAGATCCTACAGAGCTTAGATAAGGATTTGCCTCATTGACTGTATTTTTTTTTTCCATGTACTTTTTTTTCTGTATTACAGCATATGAATTGGTCTTTCAACCAAGACCATTGTATTTTATTCAGAAAACTGTCCTCTGTTGAAGAACTTAAGTTATAGTAGAAGATGTTACAACTCTACATGTGTCTGTTAAAAAACTGTGTTTATATGCATTTACATTTAAGATGATCTGCAAAACTTGTTGCCGTATTATGCTGTCAGTGGAAGAAAAAAAACAATTTTTGGATTACCTGAAGCGACCTGGCCTTACGTATCTTCAGAAGAGAGGGCTAAAAAAGAAAGTGTCTGAAAAGTGCCGAAAGAAAAACACTTGTCCTTACTGTGGTGCCTTTAATGGTGAGTGTTGGCGTTAGCAGTTAGTGATAGTTATCTACTGTGATGGTTTTTACCTTGGTGGCTGTGATAGGCATCAAAATCTTGAATGTCCTTGTTTGTTCCACAGCTGATGGGTATTCTCTCTGGCCTTTATTAAGAATCGGGTAATTGCATTGTTAATGCCAAACATGTGCGTGCTCACATCTCATTTATATGGATACAGACATTGTCCTAGTTGTTTGTTTTGTTTCATGTGGTGTCTCTTCATGGCACTAACCAATATTTGATACTTGACTAATAGCAAAAAAAAGCCTGTTTAACATGTTTTTAAAAATATTGGGAGCTATTGTCAGTGATCAATACCTTAACTTAGAAGCGTTTGTAGACTTTAATTTTCATTGAACTTCATTTTTTCATCATTATTTTAAACTATTTTTCTTAATATTAGATGTGCGTGTTGTCCTCTAGGAGGGTATGTTATGCAGTTTGGCTGTATTTGAGCTGTGATGATCTTGGGTTACACCGGAGTTTGTGCTTTAGGGCAGAGTATCTTAATAAGATTTCACATTTGGTTTTCACAATACTTTTTTTTTTTTTTTTCCATGTACTCTGATCAAGTGGTACTGCTGTTAAAGCACCTGCAGTGTTACAGATTTATAGTGGATGCTTAATTCATAACTTAAAATTTTACATTTTTAACTCATGAAAATTTTGGGTTGCTTGTTGTAATGATCAACAGCCTGAATAAACAGAGAGAGAGAGACCTGCTTCAGTATAAGTGCTGCATATACATGTAGGGGGCACAAACAATAAGCATTTACAAAATTAAGTGGTAGGTCAGCATACTTCAGTAAAAATAATTGAGTTTGGAAAGCACTTGTACTAGTTTGTGGAAGTTTTGTGAATTCTGTTACCTGCATGACATGAAAGTAGTTGTCAGATTCTTCTTAAAATTCACTTCCAGAATTATTTCAGAGGGTAGTGGGGTGATATATAAATGGCAGGACATCTTAGTCCTGGTTTTAGTGTGGGAACTTCTACTTCAAAAAAAATACCTGCTGTGATTGAGGGGAAGGTGAATTAAAGTGTGGGCTAAACCATGTGCTTTCAGCTTTAGAAGCCACATCATGATCTAGGCACACCAAGCCAGCCATGCAAGGAGATCTATCTGACCTGATTGTCCTCGTTGTGTTTTGTGAATTTAGGAAACTGGTTAATAAAGCTGACAAGGTTTTTTTCAATTCTTGTGTTCGCTGAAGGTTTAACTAGTTTTGGAACTATTGCTTAATAGTTTTAAGTTTGGGTGGGTTTTTTGTTTGGTGTTTTTGTTGTTTAAGAAAAAAACAACCCACATTTATTTGCTTGCAGGAACGGTGAAGAAGTGTGGTTTGTTGAAAATAATACATGAAAAGTACAAGACAAATAAGAAAGTGGTAGATCCAATAGTATCTACTTTTCTCCAGTCCTTTGAAACTGCCATAGAACATAACAAAGAAGTAGAACCCTTACTGGGAAGAGCTCAGGTGAATTTTATTACAACTTAAATTTTCTGCTAGTTTTTGTGCTTGAAATAAAACTCCTCAAAGGTTTTCAATGTAGCAGCCTAAGCCTTGTGGTGATCCAAGATTTTCATATACCAAAAGACACTTAAAGAATGTTTGTATTTTTTGCAATAATGTTAACTTTGCAAAAATGAGGATTTTAGTTTATTGGTATGTCCTGATACATAGGTTTCTGTCTGTAAAGAAGGGGGATATTCTTGGTGTGTGAAACTTCCATAAGCTAGAAAAGGGAGAAGAAAGGCCAATAGAAGCTCTTCATGTACATGTAGATTTACTGTAGCTCTGAAATTATTACAATACACAGAATTTGTGTTTTCTTCAGAAGAGCTTAATGTGGAGAAGGAGAGAGGAGACTTAATTATCTAACCTGTTTGTTTTGTTCAGCTTTGCATTGTGTACAGATTTGTTTCCTTCTGCTCTTTGAAAGCTGGGAAGATCCTGGGGTACATACTTAGACAAAAAAAGTAACAAATATCTGGAGTTTCTTGTACTGCAGCAGTAGCTGTACTAAAAAGGGAGAAATGAGGTTTTTTAAAAAAGCTATAGAAAGTACTGTAATTCGTGTTAGTTCCTACTAATAAAATGAATACAATGTACTGTTAGTTTGTTGTAAGAGGTTTATTGAGCTGCTTTGACAAGCAACTATGAAATACCTTCAGTTAACTCTTTAGAAAAAGAAAGTTACATGATGAGAAGTAAACACTGATGCATAAGGAAAAAAAGAAAATAGCAAGTTAAAAACATTGGTTCAGAATAAAACATAGTTTTGTTTGTATTAATAGTTCTTATCTATTTGTCTTTTTGAAATACTTGGTTTTTGAACAACCAGTAAATGAGGGGAGGGGGGAAACACTGAGACTGTTACATGATGGCTTGTTCTCCCCTTTCTCCAATGGATTTTGTAGGAAAACTTAAATCCTTTAGTAGTGTTGAACCTCTTCAAAAGAATCCCAGCAGAAGATATCCCGTTGCTTCTAATGAACCCAGAAGCAGGCAAACCTTCAGATTTGATCCTCACGCGACTCTTAGTGCCTCCACTGTGTATCAGACCCTCTGTGGTGAGTGACTTGAAGTCTGGCACCAATGAAGATGATTTAACAATGAAACTGACAGAGATAATTTTCCTCAATGATGTAATAAAAAAGGTGAGTCATCCTTCAAGCTCTCAGAGACTGTTGGCTTTGAAAAGATTTGGTTAGAATTGAATACAGCAAGTGGTTTTACTTGTCTTACTGCTTACAATCTAGCAAGCAGTCTGTACTGCTATGTCATTTGGGATTTTATTGAAAGAAATAGACACTTGCTTCAAACGGAGCTGGCTGACTGGCTGCTTGCAGTGTAGGACCTGCTGAAGATCTGCTGGTGGATCACGGGAGGTGGTTTTTTCATTTGAGTTCTGGTCCGTAAACTCTTCTCTCACTCCACCTGCCCCCACCCCTCCTGACACTTTTTGAGTGGTCACTTACAAGGAAAACATTATACCTATTGGTTTTTTTTTTTTCCCATGTTCTTTCTTCCTCTTTTTTCCTACATCTTTGTCCTTCCTTTATTCCACCATCTGTTCCTAAGAAATCAGGTTTCAGTTAGCATCGTTATCAAATTGAGACTAGAAGTAAATTTGAAAATGTATCATTTATTTAGAAGAACAGTTCTACCAGATAATATTTTTCAGGCTTTCCAAAATTGGTCTTTTGTCAGGAAAACGAAATCATGTGAGCACTAACTCCCGTGATTGAAAAATTGTTAACTACTGGTGATTTTCCTGGCTGTGAAGTTATATTAGCTTAACTTTAGTGGCTTGGGAAAAACATAATTAAAACAAAGACACAGTTTTGTGAGCGTTTGTCCAAAGCCAGTGCTAGTCAAAAGAAACTTTTTGCTGTGTTTTCTTGTGAATGGCCTTATGCTATAGCAGTATGCATCCTGTTACAAAATTCTCTTGCCTTTTTCATTCCAATGTATGAAGATTTTCTTAACATTATTTTCAAAAGAAGAGTTGTACTCATATCTGAAAAATTTTTTGCTAGTTTAGTATGTGTTGTTATATTTATTTTCTGAACTGGATGACTATTTTGTATAGCACAGGATATCAGGAGCCAAAACACAGATGATTATGGAAGACTGGGACTTTCTTCAACTGCAGTGTGCCCTGTACATTAACAGTGAGCTCTCGGGAATTCCTCTCAACATGGCACCTAAAAAATGGACCAGAGGTTTTGTTCAGAGGCTCAAGGGAAAGCAAGGTTTGTGTAGAAAGGTGTTTTTAATTACTTTGTTTTAATTAAGTCACAGATATTTGCTATTTCAAAGCATCTTTCTGCTACTGTTGTGTTGTGCTTCAGTGATGTACCTTGAAAGATTTTCCTATGTGCTGTCTTAACAGATAACATTGTGAAAACAACTTTTGTGTAAAAGAGTTTTCAATTACTTATTTTGTTAGGTCGGTTTAGAGGCAATCTGTCTGGAAAGCGAGTGGATTTCTCTGGCAGAACGGTCATTTCACCTGATCCTAACTTAAGAATAGATGAAGTAGCAGTGCCTATTCATGTTGCTAAAATACTAACCTTTCCTGAAAAAGTAAGTAGTGTAGAACCAAAAACTTTTCTAGGCCTTTTTTCCTTTGGGTTTTTTTTCGTTTGTTTGCTTGTTTTTTCCACACCAGACATCAGTGTTGTCCTTCTTTATAGCCTTACTATAAAAGGGAGTGAATGTATTGCTTTTATATTCAAAATGTCATTCAGTGATGCTTTGCCAGTTCCTTTGCTGCTGGTAAATGAAGGTTGTACTGTTAGATATATGCAAGTGCTGTGAAGGCAAAAGGTGTAAGGAGTGACATATCGAGAGAGAAGAGTTTTGCTTGATATTTTTTTTTTTAATTCATACATAGCTTCATATCTTTGTTGGTGTGTCTGTCTAAGGAGTGGTTGGGTGTTTTTATTTCTGAATTTACTTCCTGGATTTTTAATTTAATTTCACTCTGATGTTCTGCTCTAAGATTGGCTTACATTTTCATCCTCTATTCCCTCCTGCCTGTTCCCTTCAGAAGCTGGAGGCTGTGAAGGGGATTGTCAGTTGAGCCTAAAATTTGAAAATGCAAAAGACACCACAAAAAACAAGAGGTCCTGAAACGTGTTTCATTTGTTTCTGATTTAAGTCTTTATGCAACAGGTGAACAAGGCAAATATTAATTTTATGAGGAAACTTGTCCGTAATGGTCCTGACGTTCATCCTGGAGCAAACTTCATACAGCAAAGGCACACACAGATGAAAAGGTATTGTGCTTACCTGTAATGATTCACTTTTTATCTCTCCCCATCAATTGTTCTTACTGCTGTGTGAAAACCAGTTACACCTACAGGGATTAAAATTTATTTTTAGAATCTTTCATAAAGTAATTTAAAAAAAAAATTAATGATGTCCTCAGCTTTAATGTTGACTTACTTTTTAGATAATCTGTTGAATTTAAACTTAAGTGTACATACTAATCATAGAATCATAGAATCGTCTAGGTTGGAAAAGACCTTTAAGATCATCCAGTCCAACCATTAACCTACACTACCAAGCCCACCTAAACCAATCAAGGGTAGACTAGACTAAACCATATCCCGAAGTGCCACATCTACCCTTTTTTTGAACACTTCCAGGGATGGGGACTCCACCACCTCTCTGGGCAGCCTGTTCCAATGCCTTGACCACCCTTTTCGTAAAGAAATTATTCCAAATATCTAGCCTAAACCTCCCCTGGCACAGCTTGAGCCCATTTCCTCT